TCCTTCCTTCTTCCTTCCTTCCTTCCTCCTTCCTTCTTTCCTTCCTTCTTTCCTTTCTTTCTTTCCTTCCTTCCTCCTTCCTTCTTTCCTTCCTTCCTTCCTTCCTTCCTTCCTCAGAATCCATCCTTCCATCCATCCATCTCTCTCCTCCCCCCGTCCCACAGGGCCTCACCTTTGGATTTTAAAACTCACCTTTGAGGCAACTGCCGTTCTCCTTCTTCTTCTGTGACCTCCCCAAACTCTTGCTTCTCGACCAGGAAAAAAACGCCCCTTTTTTCTTTTTCTCCGCATCTTCCTCTCCTCCAGATTCTTCGTGTAAGGAGCGCCCAGACTTGGCTTTTCCGCCTAACTACGAACAAGTGCAATTAAAAAAAAAAAAATCACCTCAGTGGGTGTCCTTTCTTTAATCAGCGTAGTGCTTCTATTTTCTGGTTCTGCTGACTGCTCCGCCGTCGTCTCCTTCCCAACCGCTGTCACTCCTACACACAGGCCCTGCCGTACACACCACCGAAAAGGGACGTGCAACCGAGACACACTGACATGGCCCATTTTGATAAACGAGCAGCTGTCAGAATAACAGAATGACAGAGTTGGAAGGGACCTTGGAGGTCTTCTAGTCCAACCCCCTGCTCAGGCAGGAGACCCTAGGCCAGGGGTAGGCAACCTTGGCTCTTTTGTGACTGGTGGACTTCAACTCCCAGCATTCCTGAGCCAGCACGGCTCAGCTTGGAAAATTCTCCCTTTCCCCTCAGCATGGCTGGCTCAGGAATTCTGGGAGTTGAAGTCCACCAGTCATAAAAGGGCCAAGGTTGCCTACCCCTGCTCTAAACTAATAAAGTCTACATTAATTAACATTAATTATGCTTTCATATGTTCCTCTAAGTGAGGGGTCTTTAAACCTGGCCCTTTTATGACTTCTGGACTTCAACTCCCAGAATTCCTGAGCCACCATGGCTCAGCTTGGAAACCTCTCCCTTTCCCCTCAGCATGGCTGGCTCAGGAATTCTGGGAGTTGAAGTCCACGAGTCATAAAAGAGCCAAGGTTGCCTACCCCTGCTCTAAACTAATAAAGACTACATTAATTAACATTAATTATGCTTTCATATGTTCCTCTAAGTGAGGGGTCTTTAAACCTGGCCCTTTTATGACTCGTAGACTTCAACTCCCAGAATTCCTGAGCCAGCATGGCTCAGCTTGGAAACCTCTCCCTTTCTCCTCAGCGTGGCTGGCTCAGGAATTCTGGGAGTTGAAGTCCACGAGTCATAAAAGAGCCAAGGTTGCCTACCCCTGCTCTAAACTAATAAAGACTACATTAATTAACATTAATTATGCTTTCATATGTTCCTCTAGGTCAGGGGTAGGCAACCTTGGCTCTTTTAGGACTGGTGGACTTCAACTCCCAGAATTCCTGAGCCAACATGGCTCAGCTTGGAAACCTCTCCCTTTCCCCTCAGCATGGCTGGCTCAGGAATTCTGGGAGTTGAAGTCCACGAGTCATAAAAGAGCCAAGGTTGCCTACCCCTGCCCTAGACCATTTCAGACAAACAGTAGTCCAATCTCTTCTTAAAAACTTCCAGTGTTGGAGCACTCACGTCTGGCCTCTCTCCCAAATGAGGGAGTTCCCAATGTCCCAAGACTGAACCGGAGCCTGCCAGAAGTGCTGGAGACGTTTCCTAGAGGGATCCCTAACCGAAGGACGATGGGGATCAATCCTCAAAGAAGTCCCAAAGGAACCTGTCTCTTGGAAGGGCCACTCTTAAATTAGTAATGGGCATTCAAATCCAGTCCAGGGGAATGCCTCCATCCTTCGTCTTTCTTTTCTGCTCATAATGTAGCCTCAACGTCCTTCTTTTAGGAAGACCAAGTGGTCTCCTTTCCCCTAGACACGTGCAAGTCCACCCTGATGGGGGTGCCTGAATCTGGGGAGCCACTGGGCCATTGTTGGGGGACGCCTGCCTTCCCCAGCGTTTCCTGACACAAGGGTGTCAGGACACGGGTTACCTTCCATCTAAATCTGGACAGAGAATGTGCTGATGTGAAGCCTTAAATAATAATAATAATAATAATAATAATAATTATTATTATTATTATTATTATTATTACTATTATTATTATTATTACTACTATTATTATTATTATTATTATTATTATTATTATTATTATTATTATTATTATTATTATTATTATTATTATTATTATTTATTGAATTTATATACCACCCTATCTCCCTTACGGGACTCAGGGCAGTGAACAGGCGATAATAAAAACCACGATAAATATACACAAATTTCTGTCTAAAATCAAATTAAATAACATGCAGGACGCCAGAGACTAGCCTTTCAGCTTTAACATGAACCACCATTCTCCAGGATAGCTGTACCTAGGGAAACCTGGTTATGTCTTCGGAATGTATGTGTGCGTGCGTGTGACTTTAACTTGATTCTGAACACCGGCAAGCTGGACACACCGGCAAGCTGTTATATGTGAAGGAAACAAGCTTGCCTTCGTGGGCTGCCTATGAAAAGGACTCTATTTTTCCAGTTATTTAGAGGATAAACAAGCCAGAACTGTGTCTGTTTCAACCGTACTGTTGTGGCTTTGTCTTGTGAGCCCCTCTTATCGGAGGAAGAAGGCTCCGAACATGAAGGAGAGGAGATGGCCAGGCCTCCCTCTCCAGGACCCTCCTCTCTGGCAATGCCTCAGGTGTCTCCCGACGGAGAAGAGATTGACCAGGAGCCAGGTGGTTCTGAGATTGGCCAGGAGCCAGGTGTTTCTGAGATTGGCCAGGAGCCAGGTATTTTGGATAGTGAGGAAGATAAGTTGTGGCTGGATCCACGCCAGCGTAGGAGCAACAAGCATGCACAGCAGAAAAGGAGACGTGCCAGAGATTAAGCTGAGTCACTGGACCACACCCCACAGGCTATAAAAGGGAGGTGGTGGCCATTTGGACTCTGTGACGGACAAAAGCTGAATCTCTGGCGAAGTAGTTTGCTGTGGCTTGAATTTCAAACTGTGTGTATTGTTTTTTGTTCTCTGAGTAAAAGTCTTGGCAGGCAGCTACGGAGCTGCTGCCAAGTTTTCTTATCTGTGGATTGGAGTGTGGAGAAGTTATTTAACCCTTGGCTGGCTGTTTGGGTGTTTGTGTCAGACGGGGACAGAACACGTACATCATAAAAGACAGAAACCTTTCTTGGAGTGGAGACACTGAACGTGTCCGGGCCGAAGCTGGACTTCAGTGTAGGGCTGCTCGTGACACATTGCGGATCAGGGACTGGACGGCCTTCCACTTCTGCTAAAACGCATTCTTGGTAAAATGGAGACTTCAGAAAGCGGGCGTAGCTGTCAAATTTCATCAAATTGAAAATCTAAAAAAATAAAATAAAGAAAAATAAATAAATAAAGAGCCCTATTAAGGCAGTATTCCATCAAGCTGCTGCAAATAGGAGTTTCACAAGTGGCAGATCTTGTCCCCAGGAAAAAAAAAAATGTCTTAAAAAATATTTTGGGAAAAAAAATTGGAGGAGCTAAAGGAGAACTTGAAGACAAGTTCTTGGAACTGGTGAAAGGACTGTAAATTGTAGATCATCTGTCTCAGGTCTACCACACAGTCCTTTCAGCGGTTCCAAGAAGGCTCCACACCCATTTGCACCACTCAGGTGACCCTGAGGACACAGGTAAGGCTCCAAGTGGCTTCAAGGACTCTTTAAAACAGTGTTTCGCAACCTTGACAATTTTAAGGCATGTGGACTTCAACTCCCAGAATTCCACAGCCAGCAATGCTGGCTGTGGAATTCTGGGAGTTGAAGTCCACATGCCTTAAAATTGTCAAGGTTGAGAAACACTGCTTTAAAAGAAGGCAAATGACCAGCTGTCTGCAAGGAGTATAAATCCTTCCCTTCCCCACCCTCCAGTCAGAGCTGAAGAAGCTTCTGGGATGAGAAGAGAAACGTCTTCAAAGAAACACAAGAAAGTCCAGTTGCCTCCTGAAAAAAAAGCACCGTTGGGACAACCCTGACCTGGATGACGGAGAATCTCCGTAGACATTTAACTGGTCTGATTAAAAGCTAAAATTACTTGTGGCAGCCCTCTCTAGTCACCGGTAAGCTGTCCTTCAAATTTCCCAAGGTACCTGAAGCTGTTGGTCTTTGAACATGTGTGGATGTGGTGCGGTCAGGACATCGTCTGCCAGCTGGACCTGGCTGTCAATGTTGACTGGCGTCGTAGCTTTGCTGCATAAATACCTGTTAAAGATCTCCTGCGCTCTGAAGGAAAGCTGCAAAGCAACAAGGCCTGACATTAGAAGAAAACTACGGGAAACGCGGAAAAGTGGCGAGATACAGGACGTCCTTGGCTTACAGCAGTTCATTTAGTGACCGTTCGAAGTTACAACGGCGCTGGGGGGAAAAAAGGGACTTACGGCCGTTTTTCACACTTACGACCGTGGCAGCATCCCCAGAGCCACCTGATCCAAATTCACGAGGCTTGGCAACTGACTCGTATTTAGCCTCCCAGGCCTAGAACGGCCTACTGGAAGTGCATGGATGCCACTTCTGGAAGTCTGTTCTAGGCCTCTGAGGCTTGGAAGAGGCCTCTCAGGCTTAGAACAGCCCGCTGGAAGTACATGGATGCCACTTCTGGAAGTCTGTTCTAAGCCTCTGAGGCCTGGAGGAGGCCTCTCAGGCTTAGAACAGCCCGCTGGAAGTCTGTGGATGACACTTATGGAAGTCTGTTCTAGGCCTCCGAGGCCTGGAGGAGGCCTCTCAGGCTTAGAACAGCCCGCTGGAAGTACATGGATGACACTTATGGAAGTCTGTTCTAGGCCTCCGAGGCCTGGAGGCTTCCCAGGCCTAGAACGGCCCACAGGAAGTGCGTGGATGCCACTTCTGGAAGTCTGCTCTAGGCCTCGGAGGTCTGGAGGAGGCCTCCCAGGCCTAGAACGGCCCGCCGGAAGTGCGTGGATGCCACTTCTGGAAGTCTGCTCTAGGCCTGGGAGGCCTGGAGGAGGCCTCCCAGGCCTAGAGCGGCCCACCGGAAGTGCGTGGATGCCACTTCTGGAAGTCTGTTCTAGGCCTCTGAGGCCTGGAGGAGGCCTCTCAGGCTTAGAACAGCCCGCTGGAAGTACGTGGATGACACTTATGGAACTCTGTTCTAGGCCTCCGAGGCCTGGAGGCCTCAAATGGCCCACAGGAAGTGCATGGATGCCACTTCTGGAAGTCTGCTCTAGGCCTCGGAGGCCTGGAGGAGGCCTCCCAGGCCTAGAACGGCCCGCCGGAAGTGCATGGATGCCACCTCCGGAAGTCCGTTCTAGGAGGCCCAGGCCTGTATCCAATAAGAGAACCAGTTATTCAGGTATTTGAATCCCACCACTGCCCCCAACCCATTTCAGAGCTCTCGGCCTTGATGAAGGGTGCCTGCACCAACCCCATGCCGCTGGGGGCAGGATCCAGGTGCCCCCTCCCCTAGCTGTGGACGTTGTAACTCTGCACGGTCACTAAATGAACCGTTGCAAGTTGAGGGGTGACCTATATTCCCCTTCCTGGGGCTGGGGTTCCTTTCTTCTCCCTCCCCTCCCTACCCCATCCCACCCCCCCACCCCACCTCAGACCTTCCAAAGAGCTGGAACAGCCTGAATTTATTGCTGGCTGTTTCGAAATAAATGGTAAAGACAGCCTTACCTCCTTGTTGTCGTGAGCGGGGATGTGATTGAAATATTCGCAGGCTTGCCAAAACAGAATGTTCTCTTCGCTGAATTCCTTCCGCAAGAAATCCTAGTTGGGAGACAGGAATTAAAAATCAGACTGAGATAAAACGCCCGAGAATCTTTCCAAAGCCCACCCCAAAACCTCTTCCAGAGAGGGACCCCCCTCCCCCCTTGTGTCTCTTTCAAAGTTGGTCTTGAGTCTGGGTTGGCAGAGACCCAACTGAGCTGCAAGGGCAGTTGAGTGAAGCTCAGCTCTTGAGAAGAATGATGGGGCCACCACACTTGAGATGGGACAGGAGGAGGCAACCATGATCGGCCCACGTACTAGCATGAAACAGAAGGAAATCTCGAGGGTCAGCTCCGTCTAGCCATCTCCTGGCTCAAGGGATTAAACAGGGGGGGGGGAGGACAGTGTGGTTCTCTCCTCAAAATAGCCCCCACCCCAAAGACAGACAGACAGACAGCCACATCCAGAAAGTCCTGGAGCTATGATGTCCCACCTGTCCACATACTTTGCCCAGAAAAGCGTTATTTGAAAATTATGACACGTATTTGGGGCCAAAAAAGAATGTAACAGCCCAAACCTACAGATGATGTTTCTTCCAACCGAGGTCGTAAGCACCTGGGCACAGCACCCATTCTCTCCTTCCTTCATAGGAAGCCTTGGACCCTCCCTAAGGGTCTAGGTCAGGGGTAGGCAACCTTGGCTCTTTTATGACTGGTGGACTTCAACTCCCAGAATTCCTGAACCAGCATGGTTCAGCTTGGAAACCTCTCCCTTTCCCCTCAGCATGGCTGGCTCAGGAATTCTGGGAGTTGAAGTCCACCAGTCATAAAAGAGCCAAGGTGGCCTACCCCTGGTCTATGACAATTTGTCATGGCCAGCTCTCCATCGCCAACTCACCACCGTCAACTTGTCGTGGCCAACTCTCTATGGCCAACTTGCCATGGCCAACTCACCGTGGCCATCTCATCATGGCCAACTCACTGTGGCCAACTCTCTATGGCCAACTCGTCGTGGCCAACTCACCAGGGTCAACTCATCATGGCCAACTCTATGGCCAACTCGCCATGGCCAACTTGCCATGGCCAACTCATTATGGCCAACTATCATGGCCAACTCGCCATGGCCAACTCATCATGGCCAACTCACCGTGGCCAACTCGCCATGGCCAACTCATCATGGCCAATTCAACAGAGAACAACTCATTGCAGGACAAAAGTTACAGTATAATATCAAAGAAACGGTAGAATAGAACCATTAAAGGAAGGATGCCAAAGGAGGGACAGAATGAAATGTGAATGGCAAGAAATAAAATATTGCTTTTATTTATTTTAAATAATTGAATACATTGTTAAACGACCCTGCAGTGAGTTGACCCGCAGCAAATTGGCTGTGGGGAGTAATCCCGTGGCCAGTTGGCCATGGCGGGTTGTCGCATTCTCATCTCTAGGGTCTGTAACTCCTACTCCCAGGTCAGGGAAGATTAGCCTAGAGAGGACCTGTCCAGGAGATCTCAGGCCATGCTCTCTTAGATACCACCAGGATCTGGTTGTCAGTGGCAGTTAGACCCTTGTTCAGCGCACTTTGTTGTGGGTAACACCAAACCAAAAACCAGGGTTCGACTATTCTCCATTGCTTACGGAGAAATAACGAATACCCAGGGGATCCTGGAGAAGCCGCTCAAAGGAAACAGCCCAGCTGGCGACTCTTCTCTCCCGTTGTCGTCGGAAGCTCTGGACGCTGGGCAGACTGGCATTGCTGCTGAGGCTGGTGTCGCTGGCGCCATCTTTCAAGTCACTGTGATTGAGCTCTGCAGAAGCGGCAAAGGAGACGTTAGTCTGGCAACACAGGCATCGCTTGCGTCAACCTCTCTGGAATCGAAAACCGTGAAATTTCTGGTTTGCTACAGGGGAGAGCGAGAACCACAGGAAAGGACTGGCCTTTGCTGGTGGGTCTAGACCAGAGGTCTTCAAACTTGGCCCTTTGATGACTTGTGGACTTCAACTCCCAGAATTCCTCAGCCAGGCACACGTGCCTGGCTGAGGAATTCTGGGAGCTGAAGTCCACAAGTCATCAAAGGGCCAAGTTTGAAGACCTCTGGTCTAGGACAACTCGCCACGGTCAACTTGGCATGGCCAATTCACTGCGGCACAAGAGTTACTGTTGACTGGAGATGGATGATGTTGTATCCCTATCTCCAGTCTACCACACGGTCCTTTCAGCAGTTCCAAGAAGGCTCCACCCCCATTTGCACCACTCAGGTGACCCTGAGGACACAGATAAACCTCCAAGTGGGCTCAACGACTCTCTAAAAGAAGGAAACATCCAGCTGTCTGCAAGGAGTATAAATCCTTCCCTTCCCCACCATCCAGTCAGAGCTGAAGAAGCTTCTGGGATGGGGAGCGAAATGTCTTCAAAGAAAAACAAGAAAGTCCAGTTGCCTCCTGAAAAAGCACCTTTGGGACAACCAGGACCTGGATGACGGAGAACCTCCATAGACCTTTATGGGTAAAATAATTGTTCTGCCCGGTTTGGATCTGCAAACAGCTGGGCAACGTGGGAGCTGCAGAGCCTAACCTAGTAGAAACCTGTGGAATTTGCAGCGCCAAGGGAGGGGAGAAGATAGCCAGGCAGCTTGGGGATGGGGTGGGGGAGAAGACAGCAGGAGGACTCCTTGGGGACTCACACCAAATGAAAGGGCAGCACCGGCCTTGGATCAGCAGAGCTTCTGCTCCCAACCTTCCTGGTCACACGCTGTGGAGGAAATGTCTCCATCCAGCCGTGTGCTGCAGCTGCCAAAAAAGCCAACACAGTCTTAGGCTGCATTAACAGAGGGAGAGGATCAAGTTCACGTGAAATGTTAATATCACTTTATAAGACTTTGGTAATACTGTGTCCAGTTTTGGTCACCACGATGCAAAAAAAAAGATGTTGAGACTCCAGAAAGAGTGCAGAGAAGAGCAACAAAGATGATCAGGGGACTGGAGGCTAAAACATAGAAGGAACGGCTGCTGGAATTGGGGATGTCTAGTTTAATGAAGAGAAGGACGAGGGGGGACAGGATAGAAGTCTTCCAGTATCTCAGGGGCTGCCTCAAAGAAGAGGGAGTCAAGCTCTTCTCCAAAGCACCTGAAGGCAGGACAAGAAGCAACGGATGGAAACTAACCAAGGAGAGAAGCAACCTAGAACTAAGGAGAAACTTCCTGACAGTCGGAACAATTAACCAGTGGAACAACCTGCCTCCAGAAGCGGTGAATGCTCCAATACTGGAAGTTTTTAAGAAGAGACTGGACAGCCATTTGTCTGAAATGCTATAGGGTTTCCTGCCTGAGCAGGGGGTTGGACTAGATGACCTCCAAGGTCCCTTCCAGCTCTGTTAATTCTGTTCTTCAGAGTCTATTGAGGCTCTCAAGGAAATTACAACAGACCCAACAACTCTAGGAAAAGATTTCAACTTGGGTTGGCCCCAAGACGTTTGCTGGAATTGGGTATGTCTAGTTTAATGAAGAGAAGGACGAGGGGGGACATGATAGCAGTGTTCCAATATCTCAGGGGCTGCCCCAAAGAAGAGGGAGTCAAGCTATTCTCCGAAGCGCCTGAAGGCAGGACAAGAAGCAACGGGTGGAAACTAACCAAGGAGAGAAGCAACCTGGAACTAACAGACAGACAGATAACCTTTATTGTCATATTTTTTTTTTACTGCGGGCACATTGGCCCACGCTAAAAATGAAATTTAGTTGCTTGCTCTCAAAAAGTGTAGACATACGTAACAAACTTTAAACGTGCTAGATACAACATGTGTATACCCCTACACCCTTACATACAAATAGCAGTGGAACCGCTTGCCTCCAGAAGTTGTGGATGCTCCAACACGGAAGATTTTAAAGAAGAAACTGGACGGCCACTTGTCTGAAACAGTATCGGGTTTCCTGCCTGAGCAAGGGGTTGGACTAGAAGACCTCCAAGGTCCCTTCCAACTCTGCCGCTCTCTTATTCTAAATGGTATTGGGTCTTCTGCCTGAGCAGGGGGTTGGACTAGAAGACCTCCAAGGTCCCTTCCAGCTCTGCCGCTCTCTTATTCTAAATGGTATCGGGTCTTCTGCCTGAGCAGGGGGTTGGACTAGAAGACCTCCAAGGTCCCTTCCAACTCTGCCACTCTCTTATTCTAAATGGTATCGGGTCTTCTGCCTGAGCAGGGGGTTGGACTAGACGACCTCCAAGGTCTCTTCCATCTCTGCCACTCTCTTATTCTAAATGGTATCAGGTCTTCTGCCTGAGCAGGGGGTTGGACTAGACGACCTCCAAGGTCCCTTCCATCTCTGCCACTCTCTTATTCTAAATGGTATCGGGTCTTCTGCCTGAGCAGGGGGTTGGACTAGCAGACCTCCAAGGTCCCTTCCAACCCCGTTGCTCTGTTAAAAGAGAACCGGCCCGTCGGGATCCGCAAGGCATTACCTGGATAAAGCTGGTAGGAGCCCCTGTGGTGGCGCCACTTCAGCAGATGCCTCCAGTCATTCAGGCAGGGCCATCCGTCGGAGGCCATGCCCGGCAGAGACCCCCAGGAGAAGGCCCCCACGACCCCCAGGAGACGGCCCGGCCGGCCTTCCGGCGATGGGGACACCTGCAGCAGCAGGCATTGTTTCTCTCTGTCTTCTTTCCCTCTATTTCACGGCATTTCTTCCAAGCGGCATTCCCTCTCCTCCCACCCCCACCCCCCATGCCCCCCCCCGACAGCCCGAAGGATGCTCTTGGGACACCTGACGCAAAGCCGATCAGGTGAGACATCAATAATTGAAAGGGAAAAGCGCACCGTGGCTGTTTGCTCGAAGGGACACGAATGAATTATTCACCCGGCGAGGACGGCGGCAGCCGCAGAGGCTAATCCAAAAGCGATCCGCGCAAACAGTTTCGTTCTGACCTTTTCCTGCTTTCCCATAGAAAATTAAGAAGGTTGAACACTTTAAAAATGCTAGCTACCTTGGGGATGAGTTGCGCCCCTTGGGAGCATTTGGACACCGTACAGCAACTGGCCAGGTTTTATACCCAGAAGCAAGGTATATATGTAGGTTTATTTTAGCTGGCTTTGGCTTCGGCTCCTGCTCCGTTGCCAAAGACTCCGGAGATCTGTGACACCGGATTCCACGGGTGGCCTTACTAAGGCTTTACTACACTAGTAGAGTGGTGCTAGTATCCCCCTTGCTTGAGGTTTATCAATGGTTACCGAATTTGAATTTGGAGAATGAGTACGTAAAGGATTATTATAATTCGGTGGGTATAATGCAGGGGTAGGCAACCTCGGCTCTTTTATGACTCATGGACTTCAACTCCCAGAATTCCTGAGTCTACTGCATAGCTGACTCAGGAATTCTGGGAGTTGAAGTCCATGAGTCATAAAAGAGCCGAGGTTGCCTACCCCTGGTATAATGTAATGCTGGATGAATGGGAGATCGTGTGGACGAAAGGTCTAAAATTTACACTAAATTATAATCTGAAAGAAATTTTTTTTTAAAAGAAGATGCATCGTTGGTATTTAATGCCAGATAGGCTGTCAGGAAGGTTTAAAGGTATTTCAAATGGAAGGTTGGAATTGCAAATGTAAAGAAGGGACCTTTTATCATTTATGATAAAGCAAAGAAACGTCGGAGTAGGATTCGCATCTTCGTACAGAAGATTCTCAAAGCGAACATAAAGATAAAACCAGAAACGTGTTTTTTCTGGGTTTAATGAAAAAAAAAGACTTGGAAAAGAAAATTGGAACTTTGATGTTGCGTATGTCGACGGCAGCAAGACTATTTTACACGCAAACATGGAAGGACGCTTCAGTGCCCACAATGGATGAGATTTTATTAGAGGTTAACCTGGCATTCAATCCATTCATCAGATAAGAGCCAGAAGGGACCTTGGAGGTCATCTAGTCCAACCCCCTGCTCAGGCAGGAAACCCTATACCATTTCAGACAAGTGGCTGTCCAGTCTCTTCTTAAAAACCTCCAGTGTTGGAGCATTCACCGCTCCTGGAGGCAGGTTGTTCCCCTGGCTAATTGTTCTGTCAGGAAATTTCTCTGTAGTTCTAGGTTGCTTCTCTCCTTGATTAGTTTCCATCCGTTGCTTCTTGTCCTGCCTTCAAGTGCTCTGGAGAAGAGCTTGACTGCCTCTTCTTTGGGGCAGCCCCTGAGATATTGGAACACTCCTATCATGTCCCCCCTCGTCCATCTCTTCATTAAACTAGACGTACCCAATTCCAGCAACCGTCCCTTATATGTTTTAGCCTCCAGTCCCCTGATCCTCTTTGTTGCTCTTCTCTGCACTTTTTCCAAAGTCTCAACATCTTTTTTGTAATGGGGTGACCAAAACTGGATGCAGTATATTCCAAGGGTGGCCTTACTAAGGCTTTATAGAGTGGTACTAATACTTCACCTGATTTTGATCCTATGCCTGTGTTTATACAACCAAGGATTGCAGTCAGCATCAAGAGCCAGAATCCACCCATGCTCAGGACATGGAACTACCAGTAGTGTGGACTCTGGGTCCACAACACCCCATGAGCCACCCCCCCAATTCCCTCATCTCCTGTTGCCCTCCATCCCTGCCTGCCACTAATTACCTTCCCGCCCACCCACCCACCCCCGCACCAGATCGCCCCCCTGCCCCTCCCCTCGCGAAGTCAAGGGTCCCGCGTACGTCACCCTCTTCCGTCACCCTGCTCCCGCAACATCAAAGTTTAAATGAGCAGCCGGTTCAAATTGACCATGTGTTTGGTGGATGTCAGTCATAACAATTAGCCTATAAACCAGTGGTTCTCAACCTTTTTAATGCCGCGTCCCCAACCGGTCGTAAGTCGAGGATTAAACCGGTCGTAAGTCGAGGACTAAACCGGTCATAAGTCGAGGACTACCCAACCGGTTGTAAGTCGAGGACTTTCCCTGCCCGGGAGCGCCGCGCATGCGTGGTTCCGCCCCCTGCGCCGGCCGAGGCGTAGCTGGCAAGCGGCAGAGACGGAGCAGGCCGACCACCAGCTGGCCCAGCCCAAGGGAGGTAAGGCACCCGCCGGAAAAGGGGAAAAAATGGCGGACAAAAAAAATGGCGGACAGCCTTGCTTGGCGACCCCCGTGAAATGGTCGATCGACCCCAAATGGGGTCCCGACCCACAGGTTGAGAACCACTGCTATAAACGAACCAACATGTGTGCAGTTACCGTACGCCAAAGTGTCATTCGTTGTCAAAGTGCCTTAAAATATATATATATATCCGTTCTGTTCCTGAACACAAAAGTATTTCGCTTACCTCCATCAGACACGGTTGTAGACTGCAGGGAGAGAGGGGTGGAAAAAAAAGAGAGAAAGAGAGAGAGAACTGATCAGCCACGAATACAAAAACTAGAAAAATTCTAAGCTCTCCACCAGATTCTTTATCCTCCCCTTTGATCTTCAAACTGTTACCCCCATTCAGGGTGATCTGATTCGGTCTGTTAACGCAGGGGTCCCCAAACCCCGGGCCGTGGACCGGTACCGGGCCGCGGCATGCCAGCAACCGGTTCGCACGGACAAGCAAAGCCCCATCGGTGGGATGCAGGCAGCACGCAAAAAACCACGCACCCTCCGGTCCACGGAAAAACCTCTCTCCACGGAAGCGGTCCCTGGTGCCCAAAAGGTTGGGGGACCTCTGTGTTCATGAGAACAAAAATGTTCCCAGTGAAAAGAAAGTTTTGAATGAACAAGATTTATTTCAGAGGGAGGGCGACAGTATATCCCGTATAATATATTTATTTTTCAGGAGCAGCTTATTCCAGAAGATCCAGGGCGAAAATGGAAAATTGTTGCTTTGGAGGGATGCTTCACTTCCCACTCAGGGAGAACTTTAAGTCTCTCTCTGTCCCCCCGCTTTGAAAGAGCGTTCCCATCCCGCACACGGTACTCATCAGAAAACTAGGCCTAATCAAAATTCAACAGTTGCAGAGAGTAATGGGTGCAGCCTGCGTTGTCGTTTTTCAAGATAGTGTGACACAGCCATGAGTCTTCCCACCTCCGACGCCAACATACTTAACTGCCTAATTTTTCTCTCTCTAACTTTTAACTCATTTCTTTTAACTTTTAACGCCCAGCTTTTGCCTTGTTGACCTGTGTGTGTGTGTGTGTGTGTGTGTGGTTTGGTCTGTTTTTTTTTTTCCTACTGGAGTACTTAACAGGGAGGGTGGAGAAGCAATTCGAAGCACAGAAGCCCGTGAAAATCCTTGAATGTTGGAAACACAAAAGTAAGGAAGGGTCTTTTTTATCATTTATGGTGGACATGTGAAAAAGCAAAGAAATAGGATTCTCAAAGGGAATATTAAGATAAAAGCAGAAACTTTTCTTTGGGTTTTAATGGAAAAAGACTTGGGGGGGGGGAAATTGGGAACTTTGATGCTATATACGTTGACGGCAACAAGATTACTTTATGTACAAAAACGGAATTGATTCCAACAACGGATGAAGGGCTGTAGAGGTTGATGGGAGTTAGCAGGGATGGCTAAGTTGATAGCTTTGATTAAAGAAAAAAAACCCCACACAATGTCTTTTGTTTCTACTTGGAAACCACTTCTGGACTCTATGCTCGAGGTGGGGGAAAAAATGAAAATTTTGATTTTGGGTTTTATACCAATGAGATAAGTTTGTTGTTAGAGAAATGGCCGGTTTATACTAATAAGTAAAAGTAAAAAGTTGAGGTTGGATGTTTATTATCTTATTTTACTGCGCCAAAGGGAGTCGGAAGTCAACGCCTTTTTTTTCCTTTTTCCCATACTTTTCCCTTCCCTTTTCCCTCCCCTATCCTTCCTACACTTTTCATTTGTGTTTTTGCATCTTATGGTATTAACTAGCTGTACCCAGCCACGCGTTGCTGTGGCTCAGTCTGGTAAAAGCGGGTGTTGCTTTTACATCCAACAGATGGCGCTGTTTTTCAAAAAAAGCATGTTTTTACCTGTCACAGGTGTGACATCTATACAATAGTAGGTATATAAAAACACGCGCGTATTCGAATGCAACGTTGTGTCAAAATTTCAAAGCAATCGGTGAAGAACTTTTGGAGATTTAAGATTTTGAACAAATGAACATTTACATTTTTATTTATATAGATATTTATATAGATAGATGTATAACTAAACAAGAAAGAAAAAATAACGAAATCCTTGGAAGCAGCTAAAAACAGAAGATGTGGCCCCTGAATCTAACTGCGGGCCAGGGGACCTTCCCGCTTCGTTTACCTGCAGAAATTGGTTCCGGCTAACCCACCAGTGTGAGACCCTGCTGGAAATATTGATCCGTCTGTCATCTAATCCAGAGGTCCTCAATCTGTGGGCCGTGGCCCACTACCGGGCCGTGGCCTACTGGCCACCAGGCCAGGGAACAAGCTGGCCAGTGAACGCACTCACCCCCCACTCACGCTAGTACTGCCAGCGCTACGCAAACGGGGCGCCACGTGACAAAAATGGGGAACCGCGCGGCAAAAACGGGACGGTGCTAGTGACCGTCACGCGGGTGCTAGCATCGCCCTGTTGGTGTGCATGCACATGCGTGCGTGCATAAAATGCTTCCTTCTGCCTTTCCTTCCGGTCTGCCGGAAAGTTTGGAGACCTCTGATCTAACCCATCCATTCACAGGAACGGAAACGGTAATTACAGGCACACATGTACACAAACTAAGTCCGCTGGTTGCGTGTGCAGGCAGTCCTTGACTTACGGCCAGAGTTGAGCCCCATATTGACATCGCCGAGGGAAACATCTACTCAGTGAGTTTTGCCCCCATTTTACGACTTTTATTGCTGCTGCTGTTAAGCGAACCATTGCGGTATTTAAGTCGGTAGCCCCGTTATTAAGTGAATCTGGCTTCCCCCCATTGACTTTGCTTGTCAGGAGGTCGCGAAAAGGGGACCACGTGACTCCGGGGACGCTGCAACCGTCGTAAGTACATGCCAGTTGCCGAGCCTTTGGATTTGGATCACGTGACCGTGGGAGTGTGAAAAATGGTCCTAAGTCACTTTTTCCCATGCCGTCGCGACTTTGAACGGTCACTAAACAAACGGTTGTTAAGTCTAGAGCTAGGTGTGCTTGAGGATTGTTCACTAATGTCTGAACACGTTCCTCTCGTTTTTTTCATTCATCATCCATTATTCCTCGCCAGCAGCTGTTCCCATCGAGAAAAAAACACATCGCCTCCATACATAATGTAAGACAACGAATCAGAGATTAAAACTTTTGTCTTTGGGGAGGAAGGTTGCAAATATCTGAATATCAGAAGTTAAATTGACCAACCATTGGTAACATCCCCGTGGAAAACGTGCAATCCAAGGCAAGGCTTCGCAGACAGGAGCCCTATTTAGCTTTATGGGGCTTCCTTCTCAACCAAACATTTCTTTTTTTTCTCAACAGGGATAAAAGAGCCTAAGGAATAGTCCCGCCGTTTTAACGTTCTTTTCGCCATCAATCTGTCCGGTTTTTACATTATTCCGCCCCGATCTTTTGAAACGTTTTCCTCCGTCCGGTTCGAAAGACATAAAACCTCCAGCAAAGCGACACGCCAGAGGATTTGAAATTTTGAACGAGCCACAAAAGGGTGGAGCTCGTTGTAAACAAACATTAAAGCAACTTAAGAAAACAGCGAGAGAAAAAAAATCGCTATTTCAAATCGCTTAGGAAACTTAAAACGAAGCGGTCACCGTTGAGCATTAGGATGCTAGGAAATTATTGTTCATTGACATCGTCATTAAATAACCCAAGAGAGAAAATCAACAATCCGCAGAATAAAGACAGAAAGATATTTTTTTTTGCTCCCAAGACCCAATATAGACTATTCCCCCCTTTTTTTTTTAAGAAATAGGAAAACTTACGTCACTGGCTTTGCAAACTTTATCCATGAACAGACAGACTTTGGGGCCTTATCTCCCATTTAAGTAAAATTCTTGGATTCCTTGCTGAGACATGCTCGCTGTTTCTTCCTCGCAAAACAACTGGGAGTGGGAAGTGTCTGATCTTCTTTCCCTCCTTTCTCCCCACCCAGGTTCAACGTAGTAGGCTCCTTCGCTGCGCTACAACAGGGAGAAGCAGCCCAAACTCAAGGCTTTAAATTCCTGCTGCGACAGCCTCTGCATAGCAATGAGTCGTCCGCCAATTCCTTTTCTTGTCTTTTTTTTCTTTTTCAGTTCTTCGTTTAGGCAAGTTGAATCTCCAGCTCCGGATTCAGACAGTTCCTGCAAAAGCTTGTTGCCTGTTCGCGTGCTTCTTTGGCGTGTAGCTGCAAGTCCAGGGAAGATTGGAATCACACGGCAAAGTCTGCTTTGCGGCTTGCTCCAGTCGGCCTGCCCGTTCTTTGCTCCTTTGAGTGGAGTTTACAAGAGCTTCTTTTTTCCTGGCAGAACAGGATTCCTCCCCCCCCCAACCCAAAAATAAAAATAAAATAAAATAATGGGCACCACACCCACTCGTTTTAAGCCAGCTTGAGCTCTGAAATGTTGAAAAGTGTGTCTTCAGCTGTGCTGAGCTAGACAAGACTTACTGTCAACGCTGCTAACATCGGATGTTTTGGCATTGACAAGAGATGGAGATGCAGCCATTCTCTTTGCTTTTAGAGTTAGATGATGCTGGGGAGGGGGGGGATGTGCATGAGAGTCTAGCTTAGGAGTCCTCAACCTTGGCAACTTTAAGACTGAGGAATTCTGGGAGTTGAAGTCCACAAGTCTTAAGGTTGCCAAGGTGAGGACCCCTGGTCTAGCTAGACATAATAACCTCTATCCATCTCTCAGAGGTACTTGTGCACACTAGCAACAACAATAAGGAGATAACCATTTCTTTGTGTTATCCTTTTTCCTGATTCTTAAAGCAGATTCTCTAAGTGGTCTCCGACCCTGACAGTTTACTGGACAATTTCCTTTGTTTTTAGATCATCTACTAGGCCAGGGATCTGCAACCTTGACAAATTCTAAGACTTGTGGACTTCAACTCCCAGAATTCTTCAGCTAGCTTTGCTGGCTGAGGAATTCTGGGAGTTGAAGTCCACAAGTCTTAAAGTTGCCAAGGTGAGGATCCCTGGTCTAGCTAGACATAATAACCTGTATCTAGTGTGAGAACCAAGGTTATTGAAATAGGAGATGATAAGAATTGGCGGGCTGGAGAACTGGAGGGAAAGCCTGCATTTCAAACTAATTGGAGAATGTGATTTATGACTGTTAATTGGGGGAGGGAATTGTGCTTTGATACTACGTGCTCAAGAGGAGGGGAACTCAGTTTTTGGCTTCGATTATGTTAGTGCCGATGCTATGCAACTTAAATAAAGATTCTTTAAGGTAAACAATGCCTCGAAGTTCTTTGAAGAGTTCCATCTGTCGGAACCGTGACACTTACATTGAGAATCAAAGAAAAAAGAAGACACAGAATACTTCCCAACGTGGGACTTATTTTATCAATGGCTGGAAAAACGAGATAAGAGAGTAAGAACTTAACTTTTGTGACTAAGCAAAAAAATCAACCCCGGACCACACGTCGTGCATTAAGCACTGACGAATTGTAATAATAGAAAATCAATAAAATACTTAAAAAGAAAAGAAAAGTGTGTCTTCGAGAACGTTCTGAAGAGCCAATTAAAGCACTGCAGTGACTGTTGGAAGTTGCAGCATCACTTGAGACAAGAGACTTAACGACCATTTTTTTCCACACTTACGACCGGGGCAGCGTCCCCGTGGTCCCGTGATCAAAATTGAGATGCTTGTCAACTGCCTCCTACTTATGACGGTGTCGCAGTGTCCCGGGATCGCGTGGTCCCCTTTGGCCACGTTCTGACCAGCAAAATTGAAGCCAAATTCACTTTACAACCGTTTTTCTAACTTAACGACCGCAGCGATTTGCTTAACAGCGGTGACAAGAAAGATCATAAAATAGGGCCACGCTCAACAAATGTCTCACTTAGCGACTGACATCTGGAGATCACAACCATCCCCAAAGTTTAAATCCATGAACCTCTTTGTATGAGAAAACCTTTGCAGTCACGAATACTAAACATTGCTAAGAAAAGCAGAATTTAAGACTCAAAAAACGAGGAAATGGGGAAGCACAACGTCACTTCAAGGCAGATCTTAAGGTTTGTATTTAATGAACTTTTCTATTACTTTTCCAGCGTCAAAATGAACTAACTTATTAACCCGCCTTTACCGTCTTCGTAGGAAGTCATGAAAGTCACAGTTACCTCGAGATCCTCGAGCGAACGGGTAACGCTGAATCTCTTGGCGCGCCCAAACGATTTTCGAGCCGAAGAAGAATGATGGAAGAGTTGTGCCAATCCGAATTCGGGTCCGAATTTTGCCCCCTTAATAAGCCACAAAAAAAAGACGTTGGATTAGCTTTCCATCTTCATTCTGCGTGATCTATTTCCCTGGTACTTCCTTGAAAGCAAATTTTTATTAAGCCTCATTTTTAAAGCCAATTCCCTACGCACAGAGGAGAATAAACTGTAAAAGTGTGGGTGCAACCAAAAGCTCCCAATTTAGGCATTCCCCTCTCCGGGTGGGGGCGACAGCAGCGGCTTAGGGGTTAAGATGCTGGGCTTGTTGGCTTGAAAGCCATCACTTGGGTTCAAGAGCCAAGCGCTGTAGACAGGGTGAGCTCTCGTTCCTTTTTTTATATATATATAAATTTTATTAATTTTCTGATATTGCATTTGCATATTTGAAAAACAACGTGGCGGCTGAGTTATAATAATTCAATTACAAACAAGTATCATTAGTATAAACCTCAGACTATTACCGTAAGCATTTCCTCTCTTTCCCCTTCATAGAAACTGTCCATGTTTAGATTACAACAATTCTTGTTTTATCAATCCAATAAAAAATAACTTTCTTACTTTTGTCAATAGTTTTTAAGCTTATAAATATTCTAATTGCTTTAGCATTCAATCTTTTAGACAATCAGTGACCTGGTACCTTTTTCAAATTTTAATTTTCCATTAATATTTAAATTTGACGTTTAATACTTATCATTCCCCAAATTTTGAAAGACCCCAGTTCTTTTATCACCATGCCTCACTAAATCTAATGTTCGGAGTACACACCTATTTAAATTCTCGCCATCCACATCAAACAAATTAATGTTGCATTATAATATTCTTATTTTCTCAATAGTTTTTTAGTTTAGGATGAGCTCCCGTTCCTTGCTCTAGCTCAGGGGTAGGCAACCTTGGCTCTTTTATGACTCGTGGACTACAACTCCCAGAATTCCTGAGCCAGCATGGCTCAGCTTGGAAACCTCTGCCTTTCCCCTCAGCGTGGCTGGCTCAGGAATTCTGGGAGTTGAAGTCCACAAGTCATGAAGGGTCCATAGTTCCCCCATGCTGGCTCAGGAATTCTGGGAGTTGAAGTCCAGGAGTCATAAAAGAGCCACGGTTGCCTACTCCTGCTGGCGATCATTGTTAAATGAACCTGGCTTCCCCCATTGACTTTGCTTGTCAGAAGGCTGCAAAAGGGGATCACGTGACCCCCCCGGGACACTACAATAAAGTTTTTATTCTATACTCTATTCTTCTGTTCTACTTATTTGGGAAGAATATTAGCTCTTGGGAGATACTCAATAAAATGATCGTTTATTGGACTCGTGTCGATCGCAAGAAATCCCTCGTCCCAATTTATCCACCGTTACTTGCTGATGCACGGACAACGCTAACACAACGGCACAACCCGGCCTGGAGTTCTTTTTGTTGGGCAATTACACTGCCCAATCTTTGCTTCCATTTGGCAGGTTTTCAAGTTCTTTGTCGAGCAAAATTAGCCGCAGCTGGGATTTGTTTAGTGTCGACCCAGTAATGTAATTTTCTTAATTGCAGGGTTTTTGGTTCTATTCTTACACAATGGCGTCTAAAAACGTTCTTATTGTGGGGTGCTCTTGAATTTGAGAGAAAAACATTGTCTGAAAATGGTAAAGGCTTTAAATAGCCTGCTTTCATTCTCTCCAACTCTGAGCACGCAACAGGGGGGACGGGGGGGGAATCCAGATTTAGGCAGGCACATTGGGTATGGAACAAATTGTTCACCCTTTCCTCCCTTCTAGAGCAGCTGCTCCTGCACCCCAAAAGGTTGGTAGATCCCCCTGCACTCGGCAAAGACATAAGGCAGTGATGGTGAACCTTTTAGAGACCGAGTGCCCAAACTGCAACCTAAAACCCACTTATGCATCGTCGGGTGCCGGGTGGGTGTGGCCCATTGGCTGAATGTGGCCCATTGGGGTGTCTGACCCATTGGGTGGACGTGGCTGCGGTGGTAACGGCAGACTGGGTGGGACTAAAAAGTTCAATCAATCAACTCCAACTTTGCAAGATCTTTTTTTTCTCTGCGAAAGTTGAAATTGATTGAACCTTTTTTTTTTTGCACACGGCGGCGGAGGCCTAAAGCGAAAAGGTTTTATAATACCCAGCTGAAGGCCTAGGACTGGGGCGATGGCGCGCGTGCCCACGGAGAGGGCTCTGAGTGCCGCCTCTGGCACCCGTGCCATAGGTTCGCCACCACTGACATAAGGCCTCTCTTCCTGAGCAAAAATCTACTCCTGGACAAGATCTCTGCTCGTTTGAGGACTTCCTTTTCTTCCCACTGAACTCCACTGCAAACCAATGCAGCCTTTTCCACTGAGTGGAGACCCTCACCCCTCTAGGATTAGAGGGGGGAAGGAATGACGGGAAAATCTGTTTCCCAGCGATAACAATAGCAATAGCACTTAAGAGTTTTATACCACTTCACGGTACTTTACAGACCTCTCTAAGGGATTTATAGTCAGCATATTTAATAATATTAATAATAATAATATTAATAATAATAATATTAATAATAATAATAATAATAATAATAATATTAATAATAATAATAATAATAATAATAATAATAATCATCATCATCATCATCATATAAAAGTTGGAAGGGACCTTGGAGGTCATCTAGTCCAACCCCCTGCTCAGGCAGGAAAGAATAACATCTTAACAGCAACAGCAGCAGCGGTATATAAAGTTCCCTATTGCAGGAAATAAAGAGAATTAACGTTAGTATTATTGAGCGGTCACTAAATGAACTGTTGTAAGACAAGGACTACCTGTATTTTATTAACGTACCATACTTATCTTTTTTTCTTCTCTGGTTGTTCTGAAACCGGGTCGAGAGTCGAAGGGATCCGAAGCCGCCTGAAATTCTTTCTCAGCCAGTTCTTTCGTTGGGGACACGAGATGAGGCTGGCCAAAGCCGCCGCCGACCTTGTATCTATCCGCAGGGATTTTATTCATAGGAGGCGGAAGCGTACCGCAGTTGACGCTTGACCAGCCGTCGGTGGAATCCGTGTACGACTCTTGGTCGCTGAGACATCCCTGTTGCCAATCTTTCAGTACGTGAACAGGCAACCACCTCTGATTGTCCGTGGGGTTCTTCTTATTTGGCGGCGCTGAGCTTTTCGAAGCCGCTACCGCAACGTCAACATGAGCTGAAGACGCCAGGAGTTTATTTAGGTTTTGAGATTTATCGTTCTGGAACACGGCTCCTGACCCTACGTTTTCTTGTTCGTGACCAAAATTCCAGTGGGAGTTGTGAGCTCTGTTTATTGGACTGCCCTGTACGTTATTACCAAGCAGGTGTTTGTTGGTGTTGCTTCCTAAATCGACCACTAAAACCCTACTTTTTTCTTCTTGGTGGAGGTTCCCGATCCCGCTGTCACTGTTACTGCTCATACTGTTGTTCTGATGGGCATCTGCTTCTCCGTCGAGGAAGGCCCTGGCCCGCACCCCCTCGATGAAATCCCCCATGTCCCTGTACAGGACAGAGACAAACTGAAGGACCGGGAGAGACGACAAAGGGAACTCAAGGCAGCCGTTGGTGTCGGGATCCGCCGTGCACTCCAATCCGAATCGGCGGGCAATGCCCTGATGAATTTTATGACTGAATAGCTCCGGATCCACCATAAACACGTGGCAGGAGGTCCTCAAGACCACTTCGTCCTCCGGAGCTAAGCTTGCCTCGTCCACGCTCTGCATGGTGACCAGTCCAAAAAACCGTTTGTCGTCGGGACAGAGAGCGCTAAAGGCCAGCTTCTCGGCTGGATACTTTGCAATCACAACGGACAGGTTCGTGCAGAGCTGAATGGAGTCGTGCATGATCTTCATCGCCACTAAGGAATGGATCCTTTGCTCGGCCCGAAGACGGCGCATGCAACCGCGGATGGCCTGCAAGCTGTCATATTCCAGATTTGAACTCGAAGAAGGGAGTTCGATGGATCCCAGGTAGCCCACGATCATGGCCACGTTTAGAATGCTGGCGTCAATTCCGCAGTACTCCTGGTTGTCCCATCCAGCCCGAAAAAACGAGTCATTGTTCAAGGCTTGTGGCTGTTCCTCATTGTACGGCACGCGGGGTTGATCGTTCCTAGGTGGAGGTTCCGTTTCCATCTTGGCCCCGTCGTGAGCGAACGTTTCTTTTCTTTTTGGTATCGGCACCTCGCTAGCACAAATATTAGAACTTTCGAAGATCATGTTGAAAATTTCACCTGATTGCATTTCCTCCACCACTTTCTCCGCCCGGTTTATACCGGGGCCTTTCAAGTCAGGCTTGGTCTTTGGCCACCCTCTGCCATCATAAAGACCATCTTCTTCGTCGCTTGAACAAGCTTCAGCGTGACCGAACCCTTCCGCAATGACCATGTGCAAAACCCCGGAGCATTTGCCTATCAGCTTCACCACATCTTCGTGGGAGGCCCTCTTCACGTTAATTTCGTTGATCGCAAATATCTTATCCCCGGCCTTGAGCCCCACGTAATCTGCGGGACTTCCTTTTAAAACAGAATTAAGCACGCAGGGAGCTTGGCCGGAAAGGGTAAAACCGTATCCCGCTCTCCCTCTAGCAATTTCGACGTTTCTGATGCTGGAAGCGTGAGCGCGCAGCCGCCGTTTGGCTTTCTCTCCTGGTCTGTACATGCTGGGAATTTGTTGGGGCTGAAAAAAGTCTATCCAGAATTACATTGTCATGCGCTATCAAGTCTGCATCTTCCCTTGTCCTAAAGGAAGAAAAGAAAATATGTTCATAAGCATCATTGCTTGGGATACTAGTCACTTGTCAAATGCACTGTCAGTGAGAAACCTATTAAATCGCTAGCTTCAGATTTGATAGAATTAACCAGTGGAACAGCTTGCCTCCAGAAGTTGTGGGCACTCCATCACTGGAGGTTTTTAAGAAGAGACTGGATAGTCACTTGTCTGAAATGGTATAGGTTCTCCTGCTTAAGCAGGGGGCTGGATAGAAGACCTTCAAGATCCCTTCCTACTCTACTCTACTCTACTCTACTCTACTCTATTCTATTCTATTCTTTATTGGCCAAGTGTGGTTGGACACACAAGGAATTTGTCTCCGGTGCGTAAGCATTCAGTCTACATACAAACAATAGTGATAAATCATGATCACAATCAACATAAAAAATACATTCATCACAAATCATAAAATACAACAGATTATGCAGTTGATTTTATGTTCTTATTCAGACAGCACGGATTGTGTGTCAAATGTATAGATCTCCCTATCTGAAGATTGGCTTTAGGAAGGCAAAACAAAGAGGGTCTAGAGCGGAGGAGGAAAGCTGGGGAAGGGAGAAATTACTTGCCACATTCAACTGGACCCTAATGCCCACATTTCATTTCTTTTATTCCATTTCTTTTTTTCAAAAGGTGAGTTTCTAACCGTTCCGGAAGCCAAGGTATATATATATATATATATATATATATATATATGCAAAATGTGGATTCTATCCATTTTGGGTCTGAAAACACTGAATGTTCGGTGCTGGCTAAGGACTGAAAACCAGCAAAATATTTCTGATTATTCGATGTAAGTGAATACATCCGTGCAGGGAATTCATTATGGAAGGGGGGGGGGGGAAATATTCTGAAAAAAAATTGCTCCACACATCTGTCTGGGATAATTAGTTTGGGAGCTTCGGAGAAAGTTGGCAACAGCCCCCTATTATGTTCGCTAACAGTAGGGAACGGGGTTGGCGGGAACTCCATAAACCATGTTCCACAGGCTTCCCAGCTGTTTAATGCAGGTAGTCCTCGACTTAACGGCCACAAATGAGCCCAAAATTCCTGCCGTTGGGTGAGACCTTTGTTACATGAGTTTTGCCCCCCTTTTACGAACTTTCTCACCACGGTGGTAAAGGGAATTACTGCAGTGAGTAGGTTAGGAACACGGCTGTTAAGTGGATCTGGCTTCCCCCCCATTGACTCTGCATGTCGGAAGGTCGCAAAAGGGAACACGTGACTCCCCGGGGAGGCTGCGACCGTCATAAATACGGACCCGTCGCCAAGCGTCTGACTTTGGATCAGGTGACCACGGGGACGCTGCAAAGGTCCCCGTTCAGTGTGAAAAACGGTCCCGGGTCACATTTCCTAGTGCCGTTGCAGCTTTGGGCGGTCAGTAAACGAACTGCCGTAAGTCGGGGACTGCCTGCGCCGCAAATCCTTTGGCTGGCGTTATCGAATCGGTTATCCCAAGAGGGAAAGAGACAGATCGGTCTCCCCCCCAGGAACGTCTCCTTGGCTAGGCGGCCGACGGCAGGGAGTCTATCGGTGCCCCTGAGTTGGCTTCGAGGGGGCTTCATCTATTCCCGCCAGGGCCAGTTGTTACACCCCTTGTCTTGTCTTTTCCTCCAGGAGAAGCACGTCGCCGTTCCGGGGGTTTTTTTCTACACCTGAGGCTTGAAAATGGAAAAGCAGCAGCCACCTGGTGGAGCTCCGAGCAGCCGAGTCGAGACCACCAAAGGGAAGCAGGAGGAACCCCCAGGAAAGACTGGAGGAAGGAAAGGCAGAAGCAGAAAAAGTCACCTGGTCAGTTTCTTTCTTTCTTTTCTTCCTTCCTTCCTTTTTTTCTTTCCTTCTTTCTTTTGCTCCCTCCCTTTTCCTTCCTTCCTTCCTTCCCTTTCTAACCCTCTCTCCCTTTTCTTTTCTCTTCCCTTTCCTTCCCTCCCTCTTTTCTTCCCTTCCTTCCTTTTCTTTTGCTCTCCCTCCCTTTTCTTTCTTTCTTTCTTTTGCTCTCTCCCTCTTTTCCTTCCCTTTCTAACCCTCCCTCCTTTTTCTCCTTCCTTCTTTCCTTCCTTCTCTCCCTTTCCTTCCCTTCCTTCCTTTTCTTTTGCTTTCCCTCCCTTTTCTTTCTTTCCTTCTTTCTTTTGCTCTCCCTCTTTTCCTTCCCTTTTTAACCCTCCCTCCTTTTTCTCCTTCCTTCTTTCCTTCCCTCCCACTTTCCTTCCCTTCCTTCCTTTTCTTTTGCTCTCCCTTTTCTTTCCTTCCTTCCCTTTCTACCCCTCTCCCTCTCACCCCCTCCCTCATCTTTTTTTCTTCTTTCCCTTCCTTTTTTTCCTTTTCCTTCCTTCTTTTGCTCTCTCCCACCCTTTTCCTTCCTTCCTTCCTTCCCTTGCTACCCCTCCCTCCTTCTCATGTCCTTCCCTACCTTCCAGTTCTTTTGTCCTCCCTTCCTTCACTCCCTCTTTTCTTTCCTTCTTTCTTTCGCTCTCTACCTCCCTTTTCTTTCTTCCCCTCCCTCCCTCCCTCCCTCTCCTCCCTCCCTCCCTCCCTCCCTCCCTCCCTTCCTTCCTTCCTTCCTTCCTTCCTCCCTTCCTTCCTTCCTCAGAATTTCCCATTTTGAAGATGAGTGGAATTCTGGAGCTGAGTCCACCCAGGTAGCCTGGAGCAGTGGCAACTCCTGGGCAGGTCAAATAGGGCTGGCAAGACTTGTGAAGGAGCCTGGGCGAGCTCGGGAAACGAGTTCAAGGAAGGCACCACACCTGTGAGCCATCATCAAAGGGCTTTATTGAGCATTGCCAAAGGAAGGCAGAGATCAAAGGCTGTTTAGACCACAACTATGATTCTTGGGCAGTGACGGCAAACCTTTTAGAGACCGAGTGCCCAAATTGCAACCCAAAACCCACTTATTTATCACCGGGTGCCAGGTGGGCGTGGCTGTGGTGGTCACGGCAGACTGGGTGGGCGTGGCCAGGTTGGGCATGGCAAGCTCGATGTTGCTCGTGGGGAGGGACGCCTGTGGGGGCCGGGCAGGGTTGGGGGAGATCCAGGGGGTCTCTGGCGGGTGGGGCGGTGGGCAGGAGGCTCGTCCTGCGGGGTGAGGCAAGGCAGGGTGGGGGTGCCATTGTCACAGGACAAGGTGAGGCAGGGGCCAGGGCGGTTGCTGCCTGACACCATCGGCCCCCGCACACAGAGGCCAGCGAGCGCATGAGTGCTGGGATGCATCCGGCCATGTGGGACCTCAGCGAGTTAGCGGGCAGCCGATTGAACAGGGACGGTTGCCATCTTCGGGGCATGGCGTGCGTGCCCACAGAGAGGGCTCGGAGTGCCGCTTCTGGCATGCATGCCATAGGTTTGCCACCACTGTTCTAGGGGAACAGTTAGTTCTCCATCCGGATAAGGACCAGTAATAATTAGGCACGCACCTTAAGTCTGGAAAATATAAATGCCGTTTTTACATTTTACAAATGCCCAAAACTTTTGCTGGTTTTTTTAAAAAATCATTCCTGTAAGTGTTGAAGGTTCATTTGGATTTCCATCTTGCTAAAATATACTGCTCACAAAAATAAAGGGAACGCAAACCCCTTCAGTTCCATGGTAAAATGTTCCCTTTATTTTTTTGAGCAGTATATATACACGTTAAGCATATTAGATATGACACAGCACAGATATCACATTGCAAAATTTCAGATTGATAGGCAGGTGTTACAGAATGCTGCAACGTGTGTACCGGGGAAAGCGTGATAATTGGGGAGGGGGAGAAACCAAACGAACAGGGTCACAGAAGCAAAGCAAAGCAAGTTTTTACACCAGCCCCTGAAGCACGACCTGAAATGAAATTTCACTCATCTAGCCTATTATTTCGCCTACTGCCGAAGGCTCTCGGCCGCTCTGCAATCAAAAAGACCGGCCCAGCCAAGAAGGCTTGAAGCCGGCGTGTTGCAAGGGAAGAAGCCCTGGGGAAGAAAGTCCAAGAAACCAGGGAAAAAAAAAAGGCCTGGGAAGCAGTCTATGGAGAGTCTCAGTCATCCAGGTCATGGTTGTCCCCAAGGTGCTTTTTCAAGGAAGCAACTGGACTTAGGAACGGATTTCCAGAAAACATTGCAGACTAGAGGAACCATTTGCCCTTCAGTTTGAGGTGCAGACAACACGGACTCATCCCCAACCGCCTGCGCCCATCTTCAACCGTGAAGGGACCCAGGGCAGAAAAACATCCTGCAACCAAGAAGGCTCCACACCCATTTGCACCACTCAGGTGACCCTGAGGACACAGACAAACCTCCAAGTGGCCTCAACGACTCTCTAAAAAAATGCAAATGACCAGCTCTCTGCAAGGAGTATAAATCTTTCCGTTCCCCCACCATCCAGTCAGAGCTGAAGAAGCTTCTGGGATGAGAAGCGAAACGTCTTCAAAGAAAAAACAAGGAAGTCCAGTTGCCTCCTGGAAAAAGCCCCTTTGGGACCACTGAGGACACAGATAAACCTCCCAGTGGCCTCAACGGCTCTCTAAAAGAAGGCAAATGACTAGTTTTCTGCAAGGAGTATATATATATCCTCCCTTTCAGCAGTTCCCAGAAGGCTCCACACCCATTTGCACCACTCAGGTGACCCCGAAGACACAGGCAAAGCTCCAAGGGGCCTCAACGACTCTCTAAAAGGATGCAAATGACCAGCTTTCTGAAAGGAGTATAAATCCTTCCGTTCCTCCACCATCCAGCCAGAGCCGAAGAAGCTTCTGGGATGAGAAGCGAAACGTCTTCAAAGAAAAAACCAGAAAGTCCAGTTGCCTCCTGGAAAAAAAAGCACCTCTGGGAAGTCCTGGGAAGCAGGCAGGCAGGGAGAAGGGAATCAAGGCAGGCTTGCAATACACACTTGGCAGCCACAAAATACCAGCATCCAGCAGTGAATAACTTCAGCTGGAGGAGGGGAAGAAGCACAAACAATGAACTCCTCCAAACAGCCCAGAAACTGCGCTCAGCTCAGCCCGGCAGAGCTGGGGAAGGGTCTTCCCCCCCCCTCAAAGAGGCAGTGCCAGCCCATCGTCCTGGTGTGGCTTGGAAGTTAGGGGTTTCCCAGGGGGAAGAGAAAGGAAAGGAGGGGAAAAGGGAAAGGTGGAGGGGGGGGAAAGAGGAGGGAAGGGGTAGGAGTAGGGGAAGGAGTGGGGGAGGAAACGAAGGGAAAGGGGGAAGAGAGGGGAAGGGAAGGGCTAGGGGAAAGGGAGGGAAGGTGACGCGGAGGAAAGGGAAAGGACAGGAAAAGAAGACATAAAGGAAAGGATAAGGGAGGAAAGGACAGGGGAAGGAAAGAAGAAAGGGAAGGGAAGGGAGATAAAAGGAGAAGGGAAGGGAGATAAAAGAAGGAGAAAGGGAAGGAGGAAAGGGAAGGAAAGATAAAAGGGAGAAAGGGTTAGGGAAGAAGGAAAGGGAAGGGAAGGAAAAGAGAGATAAAAAGGGAAAGGGCAAGGAAGATAAAAGAAGGAGAAAGGAAAAAAGGAAAGGGAAGAGGGAAGAAGGAAAGGAAAAAAGGAAGGGAAAGGAAAGGGAGATAAAAGGAGAAAGGAAGGGAAGGGAAGGGAGATAAAAGAAGGAGAAGGGAAAGGAGGGAAGGGAAGGAAAGATAAAAGGAGAAAGGGAAAAGAAGATCAAAGAAGGAGAAAGGAAAGCAAGAAAGGAAAGGGAAGAGGGAAGAAGGGAAAGAGTGATAAAAAGGGAAAGGGAAAGGAAGATAAAAAAAGGAGAAAGGAAAAAAGGAAAGGGAAGAGGGAAGAAGGAAGAAGGAAAGGAAAAAAAGAAGGGAAAGGAAAGGGAGATAAAAGAAGGAGAAGGGAAAGGAGGAAAGGAAAGGGAAGATAAAAGGAGAAAGGGAAATAAAAGGAGAAAGGAAGAAAGGAAAGGGAAGAAGGAAAGGAAAGGGAAGGAAAAGAGAGATAAAAGGAGAAAGGGAAAGGAAGATAAAAAAGGAGAAAAGGAAAAAGGGAAGGAAAGGAAAAAAGGAAGGGAAAGGAAAGGGAGATAAAAGGAGAAGGGAAGGGAAGGGAGATAAAAGAAGGAGAAGGGAAGAGGGAAGGAAAGGAGGGAAGGGAAGGAAAGATAAAAGGAGAAAGGGAAAAGAAGATCAAAGAAGGAGAAAGGAAAGGAAGAAAGGGAAGAGGGAAGGGAAGGGAAAGAGAGAGAAAAAGAGAAAGGGAAAGGAAGATTAAAAAAGGAGAAAGGGAAAAAGGGAAGGAAAAAAGGATAGGAAAGGAAAGGGAGAGAAAAGGAAGGAAAGGAAAAAGGAAAGGAAGAAAGAGGGAAAGGAGGATAAAAAGAAGAAGGGAGGGGAGGGACGGAGAAGGGAAGAGGAAGGGAAAGAAAGAGAGCCAAGGGAAGGGCCAGATGCCCTCGAGGAGGCCCCCCTGGCCAGGAGGGACCGGCGCTCCTTCCCCGCCCGCCCCCCGTCGCCCCCCGTCGCTTCTTCCCGCCGCCCCTCACCCCCCACCCCCCGCCCGCCTCCGATCTCCGCCAGCCGGGCGCTCCCCTCTCCCGGGACCGGCTCGCCCGCCCGGCTCACCTCCGCCGCCGCCGCCGCCGCCCGCGGTTGGGCCCCGTTGCCAGGGCGACGCGCGCCGCCGCTGTCAATCAGCGCTCCGGTCCGGCCCGCCACGCCGGCGGGGCAGCGTCCTGCGCGGACTACGGCTCCCAGACTGCAACGCGCGCGGGGGTGCTGGGTGAGTGGCTGGCTGGGTGGCTGGGAACGCCCTCCCTCCGTCCCCCCACCACGCAGGCTCCGCCCCGCCCGCCCTCCTCTGGCCCCGCCCCCCCAGCAGCTGTCGGCAGCCATGCCCGAAGATGACGGACCCCGCCGCCGCCGCCGCCGCCGCGGTGGTGCTGGAGGGGCAGCTGAAGTGGCGGGAGGGGAAGAAGGTGCCCGGGAGGGGGGGGAGGAGAGGAAGGGCGGGGGTGGGTGGGGAGGGGAGGCCCTGCTCACCCCCCCACTCTGCTCACCCCCCCACTCTGTCTTTCTCTCTTCTTCTC